ACACACACACACCAACACACACACACACCAACACACACACACACCAACACGCACACTCACACAGTTCGTATATCGTTCATCTACTATTGAATCAAAGCAAATCTCGCAAACACCTAACTAACTCACCAAATGTCTGCCACTGTCTCACAATTCCGTACACTTGTCACGTGACCAGATCAATTATCAGTGTATATTGAGCCCGATCAAAAATATCACACTTTGGTCCTTGGGCAACGTTGGAACGTGCGATGCTCTGTGACACCGGAAGAATATATGGAATTGTCCAAGGAAGAACCGCATTGGATTATATTCGACAAAAGTCAAAATCAACAGTACACAGTTCAGAGTCAATGGTTAATGGAGTTCCAACGAAAAGAATATAATATGCCCATCGGAACGATGGAAGCGACGTGTCTTTTGAAAAATTTGCCCGATGTCAAACCGATAACAGTTACAATCCGCATTATGGGCAAGTTCTTCTTCACATCATTGTGTCATTCCAAACGCATTCAGTTAATCACATCCTGTTCACGCTGAATTTTAATCAATTTATCACTCAGTTTCTTTTGAAAATTGTGGAAATTACCAAATCATACATTTGATATAAACAGAGCCGACGAGTTTGTTTAACTAGATTCAGTTATACGATACTTTAAACAAAACAGTACGATTTAATTCCGGAGTCATTTCGCTGCATCTCAGCTGGTCCTTAGTGCACAGCATGACAATCTAACATGGTATCGGTTCATTTTTCTGCTTACGTAGTCACCAAGGGCAATGCCAGACGGATGTAGACCTCCTTCTACTGACAGAATAGGGGCTTTCGACGCTTGATTGTCTCTGCAAATCTTAGCAGCCGTCCATTCGAGGCTGTGTAAACAACTCGAAACAAAATCCCGCGATTGGCTTGGTGGCCAGTCTGCAGTAGATGGCGAGCAACTGATGACACAGGTACTCTGTGAGACTGGCTTGTTGGCCTGATTGTTTATTGTAGCGCTCAATCTCACCCGCTTGTGTTCAACCCATACCGGTATGTGTTTGGTCATCCGGGTACGCAGCTGCCTCTCTGTTTGCCCACGTCGATAGCTTCTCACCCACATTGAAATTCATAGACTACATACGATTTGACGGAAAGAGTTAGATAGTTCGATTTCTGTCTTTTGATTAACCAGTCGGTAGGACAGATAGATTGAAGCAAATCAGATGGGCGAAATATAAGATAAGCATATAAATCAGATAAACTAGGGGCCTGTGAATAAATGATATTCGAAGGACGAACTAAAGGGCTTTAATTGTTCTAATCCACATCCTAGTCGTAGTCGCAAAAGATATCATAGTGTGAGTTTAAAAGTGCCGGTTTTCTTTCAGACATCATAAATGAATTAATAACAGCACCCAACTCCTAAGCACAACTCTCTCTCTCTCTCTCTGGAAATGCTCCCGGGAGTTCTGTTATCCATACAATGTTGCTAGTCTGCCATGTGCAGGCGGAAGTTGGTTTGGCGAGGCAATAATTCTGAACACGGCAACCCTTGAGCACACTTTGTCGGCTATTGTAGCTCTATTCTGAAGTTTCAGACCAAAGAAAATGATTTTTGTCGGTTAATGCTACATGTAAACATTGTGCACAAAACCTTGTGTCATATGAGCGCAAACTAGTTTGTTTCCTATTTACATCCGGTCTTGAAATAAGTCGAATAATGAAAAACTGAATGTATGCATAATGTGAACGGTGATGATCAGTTGTCAGTCAGACAGTTTGTCCTGACGTTTATTATGCTTGTACTGATGATACTAAAATATCTGGTGAAATTCGCCTTGTTGATCTTTTACGGCATAAGGTGGTAGATGTTTTGGAGTCAAACAACTGAGGTGAATTAATGATAGTATAAGCGAGCCGGCGGAGGACATGTTTCTATTTGATTCTCTTTTTCGCGCGTTGTCTCTCCTTTCCCCCTTGTTCATTCGTTAACTGACCCTGACCGTTTTACCCGAGCACATAATATTTTTGTGATTGGAATGACTTCAGAAATGGCTTTACTACATGCCATGCTTTTGGCGATGGTTTGACTATATTTCAGCTCAGCCAGTTTTGGAAATCAAGCCAACACGATTACAGTTCTGGAACTATTACGATAGTTTGCATCTGCATTGCAAAGTGATCGATCCGAATGTGAACAAAACCGTGAACAGTAGAATGCGATTTGTTCGAGGCCTAAACAATGCGATGACATTTGGAAACTCGTTATTGTCACTGAATCAAAAGAAAACTGGAATCGGTGTTTACTGTTGCGAATATGAATTAGCCGGTTACTGGTTCAAACGATTTTTGTCAATCTACACACATGGTGAGTTGATTGGCTGTTCCACACAGGTTAAGAAGGATTTGCATTGCTGTGAAACCGGTATTTGTATTTAACTCACAATTACTTGTGAGTAGTGTGTGTGTGGGGGGGGATAATTGATATTGATTGATTTGACTATCTTTCGGATTTCACCTTCACTCACCTTCCTCAGTTCATCGATTCAGCCATACACTCCTAAGCACTAGACTCGAGTTTCGCTCTTTTTAGAGCTCATCAGTAGTGCATATCCACCGTCCTTTCTGGGCTTTGAATTCTGGACCCATCGTATGGAAGGCATGTGCGTTACCACTGCGCCAACCAGCTCATACTATGGCTGAACCAAATGGTTGTTCAGGCGTTGTCTTCAGTAATGGCCAGTCAGTTCATTTGCCGGACAGCAACGAAGGGAGATACAGTGAGTTAAATACGAATATCAAACAAGCCTTATAGGTAAGTGGCAAGTCAGCCCGTAACCTGCATGGAAGTCCTGACTTAGTAGGAGGCTTTCGATTGGAGTGAATAGGTTGTACCTGTGTCTCCCTTCGTTGCTGTCAGACAAATGAACTAACTATCACTCAAAAACGGTATTCGTTGTTCAGGTGGATTCTCTTTTATTGCTGGATTCAGCCCCTGTTCAGCTCAGCCTAAATTTGATTATACTCTAACTTCTAGCTTTCCATGTTCAATCTGATGCGCAACTTCAATTGTCCGGCTTGTCCGTGTGAATTTTACGTGTTTCGGTTGTGCAGATCGAGAAAATAACATGTTTCATACCTAGGTTTTCATTTCCCTCTCCTCAATGATTTCATGATGTGTCCTCTAAATCACCTTCATCTGTTTGAAGGGGATTTTTTTCTCGTAAGTCATTAACCACGATATTAGGAATAGATTTACACCGCACGTGATTTTTTCTCCAAAACCGAAACATGGCTGGATTCAATTCTCCTCGAGAATTGAGATGATTCGGTCCAATACACGAACAGATTCAATCTATATCCATGAGTTTATCTTTAAATACCGAACTATTTTGCATAAAAGATAAAGTGCATGGGGGAGAAGAGGTGGATCAATTTGTTTATTGCACACTTTCGCGTGGTGAATAGCAGACGAGGTAAACCCCCATAGTCACCGGTAATCTGAGCCCCGGGACTTAGAGTGGTGTAGGCCACGTAATGCCACGATAGGTTAGGCGTGGAACTGAACCGGACGACAGCAAAGCTGCCACCAAAGTTGGGTGGAATTGGAGGGACTCGAACCTGGGACCATAGGGTCCAGTGCACACCTGTGACAGCTACTAAATCACTGCGCCACCACCACAATTATATGATGAACCCGGAATCGATGTACTCCCCTTGCTGGATGCCAACTGGTAGTGGCAAAATCCACACATTTTCACCTCTTGTGATCAGTTATTCTGCTCGAAAATACATAGCTGACCTCACATCACATCACTTGGCTGATCTTAACAGTATATATATATATATATATATATATATATATTGCGATCATTTTTATATTGAAAACGTGTACGAATGCCTCAGTTTCAGTTTCTACAACCACTTACCACACGGATTTTGTTTGCCATCTCATGAATGCAAAATCTGGATGAAAAGGGTAAGAGGGACGTTTGGAATGTTCGAATCTGCACCACAATGAAAATAAAGAATTCTCGAAAACTAATGGTAGTTAGGAAATTGATAAGATGCACGAGGCTCACTGTTTATGAAACTCAGTCATATATCTTACAATTGATTACAATGATCCCCATGTACCTGTACAGGAAGCCTAACGTAATTTATATGACCGAGTCTCTTGGTCAGAGTTTTCATACCCTCAAACCAGGTCTGAGTTTGACCACCGTTCAATTTTTCAACCCGTCATCTAATTCGGCAAATCGCAAACATCGTGGCAATCTATTTGATGATATGGACAGCACGTGCCTCAACCAACGCAGTCTATGATGATCGATCACTTACTCCATTGGGTGACAAATGCATGATATTGGCATATGAATATCGGTGTAACGGCAGTGTTGCACCGCAGAACTATCTAATTAGCAGTTATGCGGAATAACAGGGATCAAAATTCAAATTATTTATACCACGAACAGTTAGTTCACAGTTCCAGCAAAATTCGACGAAGCTTGTGAGTGCAATTTATTATCGTACCATGCAATGAGCGGGTTTCACTGTTTACCGGAGTGCATAGTATACACCTTGAATTCGGTGCCGCTTCGAAACGTTAGGGTTGGGTATTTGTAAACTCAAAAATTTTCAATTTATTGCCAACATTATTGAGTGTTATATTCATGTGATTGCTATCTCACACTATACTCTGGGACAAACTGTCACCTTTCTGAATTCGTTCCCAAATGTAAACTACAACTGAACACATCTTAGCGGTTACATGTATTTTCCGTTTTTGCGATCGATTTGCTTATTGAAACCTCGGTATGTAGTCAAATGACTAATCACAATCAAAACAAACTCAACTAAATATCCAGGAATCACCCCAGATTGCAATCTATATTAGTCTTTCCCCGTTCAAATCTGCATTTGTAAACTGTTTCGCTCGTCCGTTTTTACGCATAAAATAGGATGATTTCATGGCGCACCCTTCGATTGGCTAGGCTACGTTTTATGTGCTCGTCGTCTCGCTGGATTTTATGGTTATCTCGATGTCAAACATGCTCGAGACCCTGATGGTCTTTCCCTAGCATTTCTCAAGTTTGGAGCAGCCCCGTCTAACTAGTATGATGACATCCCTCATAAACGAGTCTCTTTCTACACAGATGATCCCCGATTCCTGGCAACCAGTGACCATATTACCTGTTCCAAAGACCTCATCCTCAACAGTTCTTGCAAAACGTTTTGGTTCCATTGCATTGACGTCTGCAGTTCTAAAGTTGACTGAGAAAGTCATCCTGAGTCTCTTACAGTCATTTGTCACCATCTTCCATTCATCATGTTCTGTTTACGTATAAAACCAGCAGATCCACTTTGGATCCTGTGTCTACTCCGGTCCATTTTATAAGCAATTCATTGAACAGCTCTGCCAAATCTGTTTCTTGCGTTTTTCTCGATTATTCGTTTGCTTTTGATTCTGTATCCCGGTCATCCCTCCTTTTAGGGTTGAATCTTTTGGCACCCCGAGACACTTAATTTCACGGTTTTCTGATAATTTCACCGAAAGAACCCAGTGCACAAAGCTGGACAGGAATACCCCAAGTCCTCTAGTCAATAATTATGGTGTGCTTCAAGGTGATGTCCTCTCTCCGTATCTTTTCTCTGCTTTCATTGATGATCTTTTCGTTCCACATCCTGCTCATATCCAAAAGTATGCTGACAATGCCACATTATGTCAGACCGTTTCTTCTTTTTCGGAATTTTCCTCGTTCACTGAAAATCTGTCCCGAATCGGACAGTTTTCAAACCAGTCCGGCACTAATCTCAACACATCCAAGTGTTTGGAGTGCATTTTTAGTTCTTTCCACTCTACATTCCCATCAGACTCTGTAATCCCTGATTGTAACCTTTGTCTAGAGTGACCTCAGCCAAATATCTGGGTGTTACTATCAATAATAATCTTCGGTGATCGACACATTCAGATCTGTTTGGGGAAATTTCGGCGTTTCTCCTTTCAGTTCCAAAATCTCAGACAATTTCGAACTCCCCAACAAGTTTTGTTCTCTTTTGTTAAACATTTTACTTTACTGCTCCCCTGTAGTGTTTGCCGGTCTATTGAAACAAGACTTTAAAACTGTCCGTCGTGGATTAATGATAATAAGCCGTGCATCTTTAATTTCTGCCGAGTCATTAATCACAGAACTTATTAATGGTCATATGAAGTCTTGCGTGACCTTTGCCAATAAGATTCTAAACGACCCCAACCATCCTTTGCACTTTGACTTATCTTCTTGTGACTCCCACTCGATCACTCGTTCCTCTCATTGGTACCTACCCTCCCGAATAAACATTTATAAAAACTGCACTGTACGATATCTGGCTCGCATCTTGATCAACAAGGAGCGAGTTATAAATGAATCACGTCAATATTTACTTGAATGAATCAAACTTTAGAGACTTTTTTACACAATACTCTATTGAATTTGTTTATACCTCTAGATTTTCTCCGGTGCGACGACCAGTGTACAATTTTTAACTGAAATGTAAGTATATCTCAGCTTGCAAAAGTTATACAAACACAAATACAAATAATTTAGAGTACAACATTCATTGTCTTTTATATTACACTTTTCTATCCCTGTGTGATCTCCCTTGGAATACTTAAGGCAAATTCTGTGACTCTTCATCGTGGTCTCGGAACCAACTTAGTAGGGATAGAGGAGGGACAATGAAGCAACTGCCCGACAATGGGCCAGTGACTGCTGACTGGATGTTAAGGAAAAATCATCAATTAGCCGGATGGTCTTTCGTTAAACGTGATCAAGAAGGAAAAAGAAAAGAAGACAAAATCCCACCCCACCCCCACACGTGACTACGGTATTCAAGAGCAGGGCGGATTTGAGCATTGTACAATAGAAGAAGATGACCTGAGGTGAAACAACGTCTGGTGCGAAATAGAAATACAACCTTGTGCACAGTACGAGAAGCAAGCTTAGCTATATAAGGGGACCAGCATAAATAATAAGTTATAGGCAATTTAAGAAGGGAAACAGAGTCTGTGGAACGCAGTTGGGTGAAACGTTATGGTGAAATTCAGTCAGTAGCATCTAACCCACCTAAAACGTCGAATCATAGTATTGATTCATCAATGAACTGGTTCTGAAAGGACAATCCTAACAAATTTCATCGGTGCTGCAAATGAGGTTACTATGACGAAAATACATTTCCTGGGCACAAGTATATGAATGAAAAGACAAAAGACTGCCGGAAACGAATACCTGACGAGCGGCAAGAACCGCGAAACCGGTCGTGTGCTTCCAGGGAAAGTTTGTCCAATCATTCACATACTACTTATTATCAATTATATTNTAATCAACGTAGCTTTGGATCATTTCGACTGGCATGTAAGTACAGATACCTGCGCAAGCTATGATAGTCCAATGCGAATCTATGCGAAACGACAATCTCTCTGTTTCAGGTTGCATATGAGACACATTGACATTACTAAAGAAATTCTATCTGTGAGATCCCGGGTTCGATCCCCAGTTGGGTCAATAGATTCGCTCACGGCTGGATAGTTTGAGTGCTAGTGTAGCGATGTTCCGTATGCGCTTTGCACCTTCAAAGTGTAAAACGCTGCTCCAAGATTGGGTTGGCCCAGTCCCCAGCCTCACTCTGACCGGGGAAGTTGTGGAGAAAAGTTTTGCTACCTGGGCACGCATCACAGATGAAATGTCGGCGCGCATACAGAAAGCTCGGTTGGTATTTGCCAACTTGGGACATCTGTAGCGCCGTCGCGATATTTGATTGTCTGTGAAGGGTCGAGTGTATGCTGCAGCAGTTCGGCCAGTTCTACTTTACGGCGAGGAGACTTGACCGTTACGGGAACAGGACAAAAATAGATTGTCGGTGTTCGAACATCGCTGTCTACGTAGCATTGCACGGGTCTGGTGGGGTAACCGGACGAGCAATGCTGAGGTTAGGCGTAGAGTTTTAGGTAATCGCGGTCGTCCACTAGAACAGGCAGTCGACCTCCATGGATTATGCTGGTTGGAACATGTGGTACGCATGTCACAAGATAGGTTGCCACGGCGAGCGATGCTTACCAAGGCAGGTAGTGGTTGGAAAAAAGTTAAGGGTGGCCAAGTTAAGACCTGGCATGAGGGTATGAAAACCCTTACCAGAAGACTGGCTCACTTAGGTCCCGTTAGGCCCCCTGGCTGGGAACCCAAAGATCATGGTAACCGATGGTTAGAGACACTGAGCGATATGGCTGGGGGTCGCAAACAGTGGCGACCGTGCATCTACTTGTTATTCTTGTAAATTCAGTCTATGAAAATGTGCCATTTTCCGTTTGGATCTGCTCTCAACATCCTAATCATCATTCTGCTGTTTATTCAAATGGGCAACCAAAAGACAGCAACCAAAACCGATGCACGATGGTGCATGGTTAATGGTTGTAAGAACTGAACTGAACTGAACTGATGAGTCTCAACCAGGTGGAAACAGCTGTACAGTAGCGCATTCTAGCTTTGCAACTCACGCCTCATTGGCATGACGAATTCATCATCTAATAAAAAATCGCAAATGTCCATTGATTCATCAACTGTCCTGAACCGTTTTCTGTTCAGCATTAGTACGTTGGACGAGCTGGTGATTGACGCACGAATGGCATTGAAGAAAACGAGCTGAACGGAATTTAGCCTTTATCAGGCTTACCCAGAAGTATGCTAACCTAAGCATCATGTAGATTCTTGACTTATCGAATACCTTGATCATGACTGTATATGGTTTACTTTCAAAGGACAGCGGAAATCGCTCGGCATTTCGATAGTTACCTTAGATTTTATATACGTATATGACTGAGCTATATTCTGAAATAAAGTATCATTCTCAATAACCTTCTGATCGGTAATCGCATTTCCCCTGATTTACAGAGTTCCCTGATTTCCTCATTGAAAATTACTATTCCCTTGGTGTGCCAACCAATCGTGGACAAAGAATGGTTGTATCATTGAAAAAACCAACTCTTGTGCTCGGCTATCTGAGTTGTGGATATCGTGCAATGCGACAACGCTTGCTTGTTGTTTACAATCCCACAGAAATCGGTCATCGATATACGAACTTGTCAAGCTGTTCGACTTTCACATGTTCCTATGCATCGATTGCATTGCCACGGATGAATCGATTTGCTAAAATATGCATCATTTCAGGTGAGTAATTCGGGTTTTTTTGTCTTCGGGCATTGTAATCGAAACGGTGATGTTGGTCATTTGAAGGAAAGAAAAGAAATCTACTCAAATGTATTGTGTTCCCTGATATCCGGGATTTTATTTCTCTTTCGTTAATCGATCAATTTTCGGTTCACGATCAGTTTGGAATAATAGTGAGAAAAGTTTGACGAATAAGTTCCTTTTCTCTGAACACAAACACATTTGAAGGACTAAATTCCTTCTTGACCGTTTGAGTGAAACAAGCCAATAACCACACGCGTTCGAGTAGCAAAGTGTAATTCATATATACATATAGATATATATATATATATATATTCTCTCACAGGCACGAGGCACTGTTGATGACTTTTGGTGTGTCCAAATTGACTGAGCCATTCGCATGGGATAATAATCGTCAACCGCGTTGCTCAAAGGTAAGTGTTTGAAGTCCCAGCCTGAAGGCTCACGATTCGAGTCCTGGTACGTGGACACAAAAAGTTCGCGCACTGATGCTGAATCCTAAACAGGACGAAGTAGCTGTCCAGTGCATTTTGGCGGTCATCACAAGCATTTCCACTGTATTTATATGTAATTCATATAGTTTATGTTTATTATCTACATACGTAACCGATCAGAAGATCAATGAGCAAGCAGAAGCGTAAACGAACAAACCAGAGTGTAGACAATTAAAGGAGGGCCGAAGGAGGATCCCACGAAATTCGCTTAGACAGATAGGTCAAATTTATAGCTGTGTATGTCCAACAGGTTCAACAGGTATCACCAGACGGTAGGAGTACGTGGGCGTGCATGTGTGCGCCCGTGTTCGTTCGCCTGTGATTGTCCGAATGGAGCACACCACTTAGAGTTCGTTGATCGAAGATGGGAATCCCAATCCATCGGGACGAATCACACACAAATATATTTAGCCACTTAGTTATCCATGCTCGCGGTTATACTCAGTTCAGATTCATAACCATTAATCACATGCAATTTCGTACACCGGTCTTGGCTGCCTTCTCATTAATGTCCATTTGGATGGAAGAGTATAGGGAAGATTGGAATGTTCAAATCTTCATCACAGTGAAAATAGATAATTCTTGAAAACTAAGGTTGTTAGAAAATTGATAAGACGCACGAAGGCCACTGTTTATGACACTCATTATCACTGAATACTGTTTACAATGATCCCTATGTGCCCATTCAGGTGTCCTAACGCTATCTATATGACCGGTTCTTCCGGTTAAGGTTTTCATACCCTCAAACCAAGTCAGAGTTTGACCACCCTTGACCAGTTTTCATCCATCACCTGCCTCTGAAAACAGCCCGCACCGTAGTGGCATGCTGCATACATGCTCCAACCAACGCAATCTATGGTGATCAATCACTGGCTCCAGTGGGTGACAAACGCATACTATCAGTAAATGAATATTGATGCAAACATAGCATTGCGCAAGTTAGGTACAATAATAAAATGAACAACATTGAGGAAGAGAGTATTTGCTGGTCACTGTCGTGAAATGGGCATACAACGAAATGCAACACTTCCTTGTTATACAAACTGCAAGGATTGGGGCCAAGAGAGAGAAGCTTTCTCAACATACTATGGTTGTCGAGACACATTGCAGTTAATCATAACCTGAATTTATGTTAGTAATGGAAAATTTTCACCGGCCCCATTGAACTGATGATGGAAATTCATAAACATCCAAGCGAGTGTGCGTGCATTGTGGAAATCCCCCCTCAATCCGGAGGTTGTGGATCCCGCAGTCTCTTCAGATTATCAGCTCTTTAATTAGATAAAACTGACGCTTTGCTTGCCAATCATCGTTTCTTCATTAAGTGACAAAAAGAGATAAGCCAAAACAAGATCATGAAAGTGCTGAATTGCAGAATGGTGATCCAAAACAACAACAAACAGTTGCATTCGTGCATCTACTTATTATCCTTAGAAATACAATTTGTGGGAATTCTCTATCTTCTATTTGACTGTGCGCCCTCTCAGCATTCTGCTCTCTTATCCAAATGAAAAACCACAAGAGATCAATTAAAACCGGTGCACGAAAGTGCATGGTTATTGGTTGTGAAAACCGAACTGAACTGAACTAACATTAACCATATTTCAAACTCACAATCTTTTATTTTTCGTCCACACTGAATGTGTGGTTTTATACACGTATACTTATGCATACCCATGCAGTGTATTTGCCCTGGGATTGGTCTAATGTATTTCGAAAGGAATTCTGTCTATCTATCTGCTGAATACGTGAGATTCACCGGCGGGTAGGTCAACTGGCAATAGAATCACTCAAAGATTGCGCAGTATCGTATTTTTGAACACTGTCACAAATATCGTCAAACCTTCCTCTCTGACTGTATTCTTCAGACCCGGTGGTATTGAGGAGTAAATATACCACTGACTAATCTACACAATTCCAAATATATGCGTATTTTTACTGTCTTTTATGCAATTTGCATAATCTATCTATTTGTTCCAGGGTTGAGAATGACCAGGATTACCGATCGCTCTAACAAATTATGATAG